ACTTTGGTATTCTTGTTTTGTGAAGGAAGCTGAAAAGGGCATTTAAAGAAAAACAGTTTAGTGTAAAAAGCATAATTAAAAAGGTAAGCAAATGACACGACTATATTTTATGTTGATAGTATCTATGCCTTTAAAGGAGCCGCTACAGAAAGTTTGATATTGCCGTAATCACCRAGCAACATCATAAATAAGATCTTCCCAATTTCTTTCTGAAATATGGTTTTATAGATTCCATAGGCCTGAGAACATGCAGGCACACTCCTGCCCGAATCTAGCATGCCATGGTTGTTGTCAGATGTGAGAAGAAATTAAGATAAATATAGGAGTGTATCGATAAACTAACTCAACATGCTCTGCACAACCCCATTGCTTAACCATTCTTAATGCTCAACCCCCTCACGACAGTGGTCAGATCAATGGGACACCTCCAAGATCTGGTTTCCTCCTCCCCCTCCTGTTCCTGAGACCAATTCCAGCAAATATTTTTCTTACGTAGCTTTCAGAATGAAAACTCATCTTCACATTTTTCTCTTGCAGCAAATTGCTATGCAAGGAGATGGGTGTCTTTGAATCTGCTTGCCTGCAGGCCACCAGGAACCGCATCTTCTTTTAGTAATTTCTGCTGCTGCTGCGATCAATAAAAGAAATGCATGCTTCTGTATTTGTTACCTTGTACGATAACAGGCTTGCTAAAAAGCTGGGGAAAGCTTAACAGCGTGCCTCCCGGGTCATTAACAATCTATATGCAATAATAATAATCATTACCATTAAACACCCCTCTTGCTGTGTGCAATCCTGCATCATGAAATGAGAGGTTCTTTAGCAATTCTTTTGATATATTTTGCAGAACACATCATACAGGTCAGCTCGCCTTCCTTTTGCAGGAATMAGGAGTAAGGAGCAGTCCAAGTTGGTAGGCAAATTAATTTACTTCTTATCTGCTGCAAACTGCCAGTTTCCCAGCCATTAACGGAGTGGTTCTTAGCTGACAGTTTTAACGATCCTCTATCCCAGGAACTGTCACATGAATCTTGAAGAATATAATGATTACAAGAAAGCAAGAAATATGTTGACTGGAATATTAGTGAATAAAGTTCACTAAATTGTGACTGAATTTCTAATAGGATCGATAGTTTAATTATCATATCATTCTGTCATTGCCATGACAGAAACTTGGCAAATGTTGCAAGGCCATCACGTGGCAAACTGAGCTGATCCAGAGTCAACAAAGACTTGAAAACAGAGGGAAAAAAAAAACAGAAATCCCAGCACTTTTATGTAAATCTGTGAGCAAATACAGATAGGGAAGGTACCTGATAATGATGCAGCCTCTAGGGGATCCATTTCTGCCTACTATTCCAATATACTTTGTAGTGTCCTACATGATTACAACACTAAGCACGGTGTGAAAAATTAACAACTAAAAAGGGTAAAGGAGCAGGTCATTTTACTGCGTAAAAGGCACAAAGTCGCCCACACTCCTCTAGTCACCCGCCAGTTTTCACTGCTGCCCCCTCTCCCTTCCTGCACCCCAACATGCACCAAGGCCCCAGGTGCATGGTGCTGTGCAGGGGCTCTTAGACTGACCTGAACCATGGACTCAACTTGTGCAAGCTCTGGATAAGCCTCTTCAGAATAACACAGCACTACAGACACCACTTCTCTTTTCTGTGAAACAATTTTCATCTGAATTATCATCTTAAGAAAAAAAGGTTAAAAATCTTTATCTTTTGGCTACATCTCTCATGATGTTTACAGCATCTATTATTAGACAGAACTCCACAGAGGCTGTGGAGCTGTTTTTTAAATATAAGAGCTTTTTCATGCATCTAGGTGACTTCCTATAGAGACTGATCAAGTGCTGATAAAGTGATTATACTGCTACTCATCACAGAACTAGTTATATTCTTTACCTCAGCACAYTTAAAAATAAATAATAATTAAAGAAGATTAAACAAATTCTCCCCACTAGTTAGAAAAATAATCCTGGAARTAATAAAACGTATCTTTTCTCTTGAAAGAATATGGATCAATTTTATCCATATTCTTTTTATGGCACTATTCATTTTAAAAGAAAGCACATTTCTTATTTTCTCTTTGTGCTACAACACTTCCAAGACTCAAGCTGACATTCCTAGAGATTAGGCCTTGTCATGGGAGCTTCTGGATGTTTAAAAGTCTCCCATGGGAGTGTGGGGGAAGCTGGTTATYACTCAATGGCTAAGCTAACATTGCACTGCGCCAGCCTCATTTTTAAAGCTTCATCTAATTGACCTCTCTCTGACTCCCAATCTTTGAGTCATCACAGAAAAACACTTRTTACTAGATGTAAATTATTTTAATGGAGTGGTTGAGATAGATCCCATGGCAGGATATAATCTCCTGCAAAATACTGGACTTAAAAAAAACTGTTTAAATATAAGAAAGAAATTTCCATTCAACTCTTGCTGGAAAACGCTAACAATGGAGCTCAATGACCATTGCATTTCACTTCATTATGAAGCCTCATTCCTGCTTTGCCGGAGGGTACATACGAGAGGAGAGAGGGCACATAGGAGAGGAGAGGAGGCAGCTGAATGCCCTGGGGAAGGGATGGGCAGAGGGTAAAGATGAAGAACCTGGAGATCTGGCAGCTCTTCATTAACAGAATGGGTTGATCTCTTGTGACATACTGCAAAAAAGGGTGAAGGTGGCCTTCGGTTTCAAGCTACAATATAGTCAGGCCTTTATAGCATTGCACGAAAAAGCATCTTTGAAGCAGGAAGGTCCCGTTCCAAGAACTGGGTCTGCTCTGACAGACACTTGACACGTGCAGAAGTGATGGAAGAATTAATATTATGTTACCTGGCAAGAGTTTACAAGACACAGCAAATATCCCGGCATCACCTCCTCCTCAGAAGATGGATTCTTCACCGAATGAGCAGGCAGTATTACCGAACAAAATGAATGGACTATTAGCCTTCAGCAAATGGGTATTTATTGTTCTTAAATGGTACATTAGTGCCCAAGCAACACYGATATTTATACAGCACAAACTGCAAGAATGCTAAAGAGCTAAAACTGAGAACTTAAGATTAGTGCTCTTGTATATCCTAAGGAAGCACGAGATCTGAATAGATGAGCACACAAATRAAGATATAAGGTTACGGGAGGAAAAATATCAACTCCATCAGCAGGACAGCAAAGCTACTATTCAGAATCATTCGAAAGACCCAATTCCAACTGCAGCCAACAGTTTGGGACCTGAGCGCATTTAACAAACAGAAGGCACAAACTAGAAATTAGAATAAGCTCAAAGCAAAAGCACTGATCGATCCTATATTGCAATTTTACAGTCAGAAATCAGGACACGTTCCTCCCACGGAGCTGTCAAAATGAGYGGGCATGCGCCAGAACGTTACATAGGGAGTTTACAGTTGTATTTAGCAGCTTTCCTTGGAGAGGACTAGGCTGAAACATCAACAAGTATCAAAAATTCCTTTTTTAAGCTGCAGCTTATAACTTGTAGATATTCATGAAGATGAAACACTCAGCTATGCAAACAGAAAAACAACTTCAACCCTAGCACATTAACGGAGAAACAAAATGTGGTGTTTTACTATTTGCAAGATGTCAGAATTAGCCGCAGCTCACGAGTGGCCTCATCCCAGCACTGCTCCAACAGCCTGGGAAAGCTGCTTGGAAGCAGSAGGAGACCAAGGTCAGCCCCTCCAGACTTCCAGGACAGGCTCTGCAAGCTGAACCTTGCAGCAGTGTCTGACCATGGATGTTGAGCTCTGCAAGCAGAGCAGTGAGGAGACCCAAGCTGGAAGTGCATGCTGCACACATCGGGAGTTTGTCTATAGCATTAAGAAGTGAYATATTGTCTACATATTCTTCTATCTATAGTCTCTGCTATTAAAAAGCTAATAGTAGTGGCCATAGGGTGCCACATAGAGCCATGCCCAATTCCTAGTCTGCCAAGGTGCTTGTCCTGAGGAACAGAGGCACCGGTACCTTTGTCTGTCAAAGCACAAGACAGAAAACTCTCATTCCAGGAGGTTTCAGCCCCCTGGAGCTGCTGCTTCACAAACTGCCCCGCGTGCCCTGCTGAGCATGCAGAGCATCGGCACCGCGCACGGTAACGTGTGAGAGAGGCTGCAGATTTACCTAATATCCGAATAATAAATAATTTCAAACAGGCAGCCACAAACCCACAAGCCCCACAGCACAGACTCCAGGCTGGAGAAGTCTCCAGCAGCAGAGCACTCACACGTGCTTCACATTTTCATTCTGTTAAAACTTCATCAGCTTTTCAGTAGCCTAAGATCCACTACAGCCTTCAAGGGCTCCTTATTTTTATGTTTTCCACTTCTTATTTCAACAATAAAGAACTACGTGACTTTGGCATTATAAATGAGAGAAAAGTGGGCACGCAGAAGTATAATACATTTAATGAAGCCCATGATGTGCTGGTAGAAATTATCTTTGGTACTTAGCATGTTTCCATGAGGTAACAGTTCAGATTTTGCATGTATTTTTATTCTGGTAATTTCAGTTGCTAAAAAAAAAAAAAGAAAAGAAATCTTAAAAGTTGCATGCACATCCTCAGTGRAGCAGCATCTCCCCTGGCCAAGGCCTCAGCGTTTAGGAGCAGGCCCAGGCTGGGCCCAGCGCGGCCACAGAGGCTTCACCTAGAGCCTCAGGTGGACGGTTCTCGCTCGACATTCTAGAGGCACCTACCACCCCTCCTCCTTCATGGCCCTGCTTGCTCTGCTCCAACTAGAAGCTGACCTTGACTTTGAGCATAAATAAACATGGGCCTGACCCGKGTATCTCTGCACAGCCAGGAAAATAAAACAAAACCCAAGCATAAAACACAGCTTCCCGGCAGAAAAAGCCATAAAGTACCTTGACTCCTGCCTTCCCTCTGCTCAGAGTTACTTCTCACCATCAACTCCCAAAACTTTCACAATTTTTTTTTTTTTCTTCAATAAACTCTTGCTGTTCCCATGCCCTACAAAAGGGAGACTTTAGGATATTTATCATTTCTCAGAAATTATGAGTGACCCCTTCCAAAACAGCTTAGATTTGGACTCTTTGAATATATAAGTCAAAAACAGTAGTTTGTGAAGGCCGTGAGCTGCTTCTGTGGAACTGAGCCCTCAGGKCCCATTTCATACGTGTCTTCGCACCCTTCTCTGCACAGGAAAACTCACATTCCCCTTGTCTGGGTAGGAGATTTTCCAGCTTTCTATTTTCTGTCACAACAAAATCAGACAGAGAAAGGAAAATGCCATTAAGATAATCTCGTGCTATTTTCTGTACATTCAAAATTGAGAGTCTGCTTTAGCTAACACAGCAACAAATGCAGCCACAACATGGCAGAGCCACCCATGCCATCATTTAGGGGTTTATTTATGGTTGGCTTTACCACAGAAAACAACTGAGCAGTCTGACCCAATTTGCAATTTTCACTGCCCTTCCAGGCAGTGCCATCCCAGAGGATCGCTCCCAGCTGGAGGGATAAATTTGCAATGAAAAATCTTGCTGGTTATCTGTGATGATGTAAGTTAACTTTTGTTTGTCTGAAATATTTTGAATTAAACGACGTTTTGTTTAATTTGKTATCTGAGGTCCAAATGTGACCCTTCTAAAGCTGTCGCTGCTGTTTCTTCATAGGCTGGTACACTGGAGGCCAACGCAATACTCAAGCTGAACTGCTAAGCCACTAGTACGACTATCGAAGCTGCTCTCCTAAAGGAGCAAAATCACGTAGAGAGGAAAAAAATAAGAAAAAAGTGCTTTTGCATATAATCTAATACAGCTAATTCTACATCAAAGTATAAACTGTCAATAACTTAAAGCCAGAACACGTCTCCTCTTGCCGTACATCTTTGCAGGGTTTYTGCTCCACTCTCTATCGAGTATTCCAGGTGAAGGCAGCACCTTTCACAAAATCACATCCCATGGACAGTCTGGGACAGGTCATTCCTGCACCTTGTTCCTGGAGCCTGTGCTGGGAAAGCGCAGGCAAAACACCAGGGACGAGACCTGCTCCGCATGGACAGCGAAGAAGCCATCCCTGAGCCGGAACGCTCCCTGTGCCCCACGCTGCCGGCAGCCCCTTCGGGACAAGGCCAAGCACGAGAGCTTCGGGCACGGCGCCTGGGTCCTTCTGCTTGCTCCGCTGCAAGGCCAGTCCGTAACAGGCTGCCTGCTGCTTACACATCCAGAAAGGGCTCTAAATGCCTTCAAAGGCAGTATTTTACCTCCTAAAGTGAATACCTTTCCCATAATCTTCAAGCCATTTTTAATCACCAAAAAAAAAAAAAAAAATCCGTTTGACAGTAGTGGTAATAGATTAATTATTTAACTGAAATAATTTCATCTGCTAATGGTTTAATTAAGCATACAAAACAGCTTATTTGATTTTATTTGTATTTAAGACTTCCTGTTCTCCCCAAAGTATTTATTATCCGAGGCAYGATTCTTCTAATCTTAGATATGCTCAGGGACTGAAGTACTATTTTATATCAGCATTTCTCAGCTGCTTTTATCATGAATTGATATATTACAAACTATGTTAATGAGCTGTTTAGTATTCATATATTAGACTTTTCCTCATTTTATATGGAAATAATACTATAAAAATTCTAAGAATACTAGTTTTATGTGCAGGGTAATGATGAGTTGTAAAGCAAATAAAAAAGGGGAAATCTGTGGTGGCAGGGAATATGAAATGGATTAGTACATAGCCAATGTGCTTTACATTAGTATAAAATTATTAAGCATGTAATTAAGTAGGATCAATTGCACTGTTTGTTTTTAGGGTAATGTTATAGTTATTTTAGATGTTTCATCTTTAAGAATTTAATTTCACACTTTAATGATCATGTTGTAATTTCCCCCCCCCCTCCTTGGAGCAACTGCGGCCTTGGCTGGGCTGACTTCGAGAGAGCGCCCGGCAGCCAAGGCTAAAYGAGATGGGGCTTTACAGGAGCCTAACGAGTTAAACCATTGACAGTCAGATCATTTCAATCTGCATGCAGGTCTTAGAAATAAAGAGGAACCCAAAAATCCTATTTGGAAAACTTGAGGACAGAGAAGATGGTTCTCTAGTTTGCATAGAGGGGAAAGAAAAAAAAAGAACAGCAAAAACCCAAAACTGAAAAATACCTCTGTGATTCAAGTGAATTGCATCACTTTGAGCAGGAAATTACAAGGCAACGAAACGCAGCATTGGCCCTTATGGAAAACCCAACGTTGCACTAGTAAGTTTTGCTTACTAGTTCAAAACTTACCCAAAATATCAAATATCAGGCACAAATGTAGAGCAGCACAGCTTACTGTAAGTTAGAAAGCCCCTTCTCAATATCTTCTACAAGCTGAGCATAAAGKCAGCAAGAGACTTTGCTGTTTCAGCATACTGACACATAGGCAGTAATTTTATATATATATGTATATTTTATATATATATAWWRTRTATAYATWAAAWATATGTTTTTACAGAAAAAAATCCAAAGTGAATTCTTTCCCCAACTGTTGGTTCATCACTTCAGTAATGAATAATGAGTTTACCCCCATTTACTTCCCTTTGAAATAATTCACCTTATCACCAATCCATCATTAGCAGCTGTGACTTCAAAGCTGCCATGCTTTTGATGAGGCTGTGAATGTCAGATGATAAAACTCAATTTAGTATTCTCAGAAAACACAAACACAAATGTAGCCCAGTCCTATAAATACTTGTTCAAATGAGTAGAACTAATAGGGGAATATTTTCATATTAGGCACATAAGTTTAACATACAATKTAAGACCTGCTTCTGAGGGCTCAGCAATCAGCTCTACAGAGCTGGATGTACGTGGCTGTTGATGCATCTTTGAATAATACAAGATGAAAGTATTAAGCAATGCAGAGATGTTAAAAATGTTTTATTTGGCACAGTTAAATTTCCCTCACGCGCCAGTACTTCTGAGTAAGAACTGCTAATACAAGTGAGGACTTTCTGGATTAGATGTGTAAATCTCTAAGTAAACAATAAAGAACTAATTCTGAAGGATACTTTTTGAAATAAAATCCTTTCAACCATTTCCTTTTTTGCTTATTAGAAGGCTAAAACATACTGCAGTTGAATCCTGGGCATTATACTTGGTGAAAAGAGTTTTTGTCCTGCATTATTTCTCYGTTCACAGTAAAGTGCCCTCTTTACTGACTAAAACTACTCTGCATTTTACAGCTAATAAGATATCTAAATTCTTGCTTTAAATCACAGCCCTATTTTCAAAAAGAGCAATTTTACTTTTCTTCCAGAAARCCATCTGCTTGCTAATGAGAGTTGTTTTCATCAGTAATTTTGAGGAGAAAAATTATTATTACACTTGGGGATTTTTTAAGTGACAAATAAAGAACACTATGCAGCCTGCTATTTAAATACACRACATCTCTCCCAGGGCAGGGGCTAGGGACCAGATTCATCATTATAATTACAGGTATTTGTAGCGAGTCTCGGTGTGACCGGGGCCCACAGGGAAGCAGCATCACCTCGGATAAAAGTCTTTCAACCTGCAACTCCATACACGAGATTGCTGCATTTTGTAAATCCCTGCATTACCCAAAATTGCCTTTTCAGACCAACAAAGCCAAAAAGGTTTTTGATGGTGCTATGCACTTCTTTTTTTCCCAAATATGTTTTTAAATTTTGTCARTGTCTAATCAATGGACAATGCTTTGCTGCAGCAGTTTCTCTGCCTCTCCTTTCGCAAAGCTGTTTCTGCTAGATGTGATGTGCTCACCACCAGCTCGATGTTAGGATGAATTTTACTGTTCAAGGTACATTCCCCACCTCCCCAAATAATCTCTTTTCTTGCTGCTATCAAACACCTCAGTAGCGTGACAAGAGAGCAGGACACCAAGGACTGGCGAGGGAGAGATGAAATTGAGACACAGAATGAAGGAAGAATCATCAGGAGGTGCCTGAAGAGAACAGGACCAGACATATGAGTGCAGAAAGAGAAGCTGGTTAATATGAGCACAGAGAAGAAAAAGGGACCAATGGAAAGAATTAAAAGTAGTATTTTTTTGTACTGGTTTTGACATTTTCATCCAAATGAATATAAGCAAAACAGGGGAAGCAATGAATTAAGCAACAGTGGGAGAYAGGGCTACAAAGAATCAGGAGGAAATGGAGAATCAGAGGGGGATGGAAGAGCTGAGTAGAGCAGGCACTGACTGAAGACTTGCAAGGAGATTAACATCAAAGGGAGGAACAGAAAAAGAAATAAATAATAGAAGCCATTAAATAATACAGGTTAAGTTTCAACAAAAGGCACGGGGAAATAAGGACAAAAAATATTATGGGACAGAAAAAAAAGTTGAAACTAGAGGGGTTTTAYAAAATCCACCGCAAACTCATGCCTTTCCCCCAGCCACAGGCGCAGCCATCACTCAGACCCTTGCCTTCCCACGGGCCAGCTCCTCACGCTCCCASTGCTACTGAGATCCCCCCGGGATCTCCTGCGTGGCCAGGGAGGGGGGTCAGTCCCTCCCAGGAAAGCCGGAAAGGGGCACGGGCACACGAGAGGCTCAGTACCCAGGTGGGGATCACACTGAGCACGTAGCTCATTCATGACCCGCGCTGGCAAGAAGGCCAAGGAGGCAAAAAGTGCCATGAGCTTCAGCTCACAGCCAAGCAAGCGGGCCAGCCCTGCCATCCCCTCCCCTTGCACGCTTAGTTTTTGGGGGTGTAATTTGGAGCTAGCTGTGAAAATAAAGTTGTTCCTGGTTAAAAACYCAAAAACAAAGCCATGGTCAAATATCATTTGTTTTCATATGTTTTCCAAAAGACTGATCTTTTCTTTTTTTTTTTTTTTGCCTTATGAGTATGTATCCCATTAGAGTTGATTGGGATTGAGTTGTGGGAAGTGCAATTTTAGCAAGCAATTAATCCATAAATGAGCTGTTTCAGAATTGTAGGTAGTGGGCACCATCCTTCAAAGACGCCATCCTGCCCTTGCATTTTACCTACGTGTTTCTACAGACCTTAGAAGAAGCTCATTTTGTTAGCAACCATTTAATTGAATTCCCTCTGAACCACTTCTGGAAGACCATACAGAAGATAATCAGTGCTAAGAGAGAAAAAAAAAGTAGTATTTCTGATGAAATGTCACTGAGAGATGCCATAACCTCCACATCCTTCAGGACCAGCCTGGTTGCTGCAGACTTCATTCCAGAACTGAGATTACAGAGCAAATAGGCA